TTGTCGCAGAAAGATCGGGGCACTTCGCCAATACCGTTGATGTGCAGGCCGGAGCAATCGACTGTCTGACGCCCTCGGCTACATCCACAGGCGGAAGCGATGGAGGCGTTGTGTCTTTGTCTCTTCCTCCCAAGGCTCCTGCACCATAGTCACAAAGAGCTCGTGACCTGTCGCCGGCACCGAAGATGTGAACGTTGTGCCGATCAACTGTCGCACATCTGAGGCTGCACTCATAGGCGCATGCGCTGGAGGCGGCAGGTCCACGATCTGCTTAAGCATCATTCGGGCGAGCCAAGGAGGGGTTGCCGGGGGCGGTCGGTCCTTGAAATCGGAGTCCGCGTAGTCGTAGATGTGCGCCTCCTCCGTGATCGCACGTGGCGGCTGGGCGGGCGTTGCCCCGACGGTCCCTGAAGAGTCGCCGCCTGCCGCGATGAGCGGGTGGAGGATCGCGAAGACGGCGCAGGCCGTCCAGCGCGAGGTCGGCGCAGCTGGCGGAATAAGACGGTGATCTTGAAGTGGTATTCCTTGAAGTAGCTGTGTCAAACGGCAGGGCGGTGGAGCCCTGGCCATCGGTGCGAGGCATCGAGAGGAGGCCGTTGCGGCGCATGGAAGGGATCCGCAGCTCCGCTACTAACCAAGAGCAGAGTGTAAGGATGTGAGGCGCACCTCTCGCAGTACGCAGGGTGCAGGAGGGGTGTGTGAATGAGGCGCGTACAAGACGGGCACGGCCGGATATCCTGCCGGGCCCCAGGGCAAGAAATGGCAGGGGGAAGTCGAGATGATCAAGAGGGGCAGCAAGCATAATGTACTGCTCGAGTCAGGGTGGGTGACGGGGGGAGGAGGAGAGAGCAGAGGCTCTTCCTCCTCCTCCTCCTCCTCCTCCTCCTCTTAATCGCCGCAGGGGTTGCGACAAAAGGGTAGCCGACCTGCAAGGCAAGAACAGTGCAAACGTTTCTCCCGCCACTTTCTTTGGGTTCATTGTACTGCTCGTCGGACCTCAGAGGAGCAAGGGCACTTGCATACGCGCATTGATGTCGGAGGACTCTCTGACTGTGCTGCCATTTGCTTGTGCGACCCTTGGGAATGAGACATCTACCGAGGACGAGGAGACAGCATGATCCCAATGTGCAATGACTGAAGATGCGTGTAATTGCAATTTTTCGGACTCGCGGAAAAAATAACGGCACGACCCTAACTAACGCGTCCTAGGCGGCATTGCTTGGTATTGCTTGGCATTGCATTGCATTGATTGGCATTGCTTGAGGTTGCTTGGCATTGCTTGGCGTGTCTTTGCATTGCCTGGCATTGTTTGATCTTGCTGGGCATTTCTTGGCATTGCTTGGTAGTGCTTGGCATTGCTAGGCATTGCTGGGCATTGCATGGCGTTACTTGGTATTTCTTGGCGTTGCATGGCGCTGCTTGGCTTTGCTGAGCATTGCTTGGCATTGCTTTGTGCTGCTTTGTGTTGCTTGGCATTGCCTGGCATGGCTCGGCACTGCTTAGCATTACTTCGCATTCATTGGCGTTGCATGGCGCTGCTTGGCGTTGCTGAGCATTGCCTTGTATTGCTTGACATTCCATTGTCTTGCGATTTGTGTTGCTTTGCGTTGCTCGGTGTTGCATGGCATTGCTTGGCGAGGAACGCCAGTGTAAATCTTTAAGAGAGGCCCAAGGAGCCCCGATACATGCCACTGTAAAGAAACAAGACTAGGGAACCTCGAGGCACGCTACTGTAAAGAAACAAGACGCGGGAACCCAGAGGAACGCCACTGCTAACAGACAAACCTGGGGAACCCTGGGGAACACAACCCACAAAGAAGCAAGTCTGGGGAACCTGGGGGGACGCCGGCTGGCGCAGGCCTCGCACCCAGTGGTTGTCCAAAAACAGCCTGAATCAGGCCTGCCGAAACGATTCTTAGCTGAGCATGTAGAGACAATACTTCGCTGCAGAGACAATGCTTCGCTGCTGCTCGAAAAGACAGCGATAGTTCTTCTCGCCCCTCCCGGTCATGTGTACGGGAAACACATAATGGTCTTGCGCTTGGGATGCCGTCAGACCCAAGCCAGAAGAGCACCCCTCAAGAACATGAGGCCCTCCGCCAGCCGAAGCACACACAGAACATGTGAGGGTACCCTCCCCAGGATGTTTCATAACATCCAACAAGCACGAGGCATATTAGGGTACTTCCCCGAGCCGACCTCTTCATACCTCGGTCCGGCTGCAATTCGACGGGGGACTTCTGCGCACGTGCCCCAAAACAAGTAAGGAGGATGATTACCTGTTCCGGAAACGGAGCGTGTTGACGCAGCCCACAGTCTAAAAACACAGGGGACACTCCAAAAGAGGTTCAAGGGGACTCGGAACTCGGCCAAGGTCATGACTGATGCTGTTTTTATCTAACAGCGAAGACTGATAGGTTTCTAGTAGTGTCAAAAGAAAGCATCTTGACTCCCCAAGGGGGGTCTGGGCGGGTGCCGGGGAGAAGCCGCGGAAGTCGTTTTAAGCAAACAGTTACACACTTCGTGGTCTTCGAGGTCCCAGAACTCCATTCCTGGGCGTGATTTCGAATGCCCGGAGCCAACTGTAAGCCACTTCGTGTTCTTCGAATTCCCAGAACTCCATTCCTGGGCATGATTTTGAATGCTCGGAGCCAACTGTAGGCCACTTCGTGGTCTTCGAGTTCCCAGAATTCCATTCCTGGGCATGATTTTGAATGCCCGGAGCCAACTGTAGGCCCCTTCGTAGTCTTCGAATTCCCAGGACACCATTCCCGGGGGGCACATTTTGACTGCCCAGAGCCAACTGTAGGCCACTTCGTGTTCCTCGTGTTCCCAGAACACCATTCCCAGGCTACATTTTGATTGCCCGGAGCCAACTGTGAGGCCGAGGCTGAGGCAGGCTGAGGCTGAGGCAGGCTAAGACTGAGCCTGAGGCAGGCTGAGGCTGAGGCTGAGGCTGATGCAGGCTGAGGCTGAGAGGCTGACGCTGAGGCTGAGGCAGGCTGAGGCTGAGGCTGAGGCCGAGGCAGGCTGAGGCTGAGGCTGAGGCAAGCCGAGGCAGGCTGAGGCTGAGGCTGAAAAAGAGGCAGGCTGAGGCTGAGGCAGGAGGCAGGCTGAGGCTGAGGCAGGCTGGCTGAGGCAGGCTGAGGCTGAGGCTGGCTGGGCTGAGGCTGAGGCAGGCTGAGGCTGAGGCAGGCTGAGGCTGAGGCTGAGGCTGAGGCTGAGGCTGAGGCTGAGGCTGAGGCAGGCAGGCAGGCTGAGGCTGAGGCAGGCAAGGCCAGGCAGGCTGAGGCTGAGGCTGAAGCTGAGGCAGGCTGAGGCTGAGGCTGTGGCTGAGGCTGAGGCAAGTTGCGGCTGAGGCTGAGGCTGAGGCTGAGGCAGGCTGAGGCTGAGGCCGAGGCAGGCTGAGGCTGAGAGGCTGAGGCTGAGGCTGAGGCAGGCTGAGGCTGAGGCTGCGGCCGAGGCAGGCTGAGGCTGAGGCTGAGGCAAGCCGAGGCAGGCTGAGGCTGGCTGCAGGCTGAGGCTGAGGCTGAGGCTGAGGCTGAGGCAAGCTGCGGCTGAGGCAGGCTGAGGCTGAGGCTGATGCAGGCTGAGGCTGAGAGGCTGGCTGAGGCTGAGGCAGGCTGAGGCTGAGGCTGAGGCCGAGGCAAGCTGAGGCTGAGGCTGAGGCAAGCCGAGGCAGGCTGAGGCTGAGGCTGAAGCTGAGGCAGGCTGAGGCTGAGGCTGAGGCTGTGGCTGAGGCTGAGGCAAGCTGCGGCTGAGGCAGGCTGAGGCTGAGGCTGATGCAGGCTGAGGCTGAGGCTGATGCAGGCTGAGGCTGAGGCAGGCTGAGGCTGAGGCTGAGGCCGAGGCATGCTGAGGCTGAGGCTGAGGCAGGCTGAGGCTGAGGCTGAGGCAGGCTGAGGCTGAGGCTGAGGCCGAGGCAGGCTGAGGCTGAGGCCGAGGCAAGCCGAGGCAGGCTGAGGCTGCGATTGAGAGAAGTTCTCGCCGAGAACAGCTGAATTCTACAACTGGATTCTCACCTAAATCTTAAGGGGAATGCTTCCAGATATGCTTCTACACATCGCTGTTAGGTTGCTTTGCCCGGGATAGTTTGATCTTGCGATGGTTAACGAGAGATCCCAATACTATGGCATGCCGATTTGCTACACACAATCAAGACTGGGCGTTGCTGGCGCGGAACAGCGCTCAGTCGAAACTCTCAGATGGTGGGTTGCAATTCGAATTCTCACAGAACAAGGACGACACATGTAGAGCGTGGGAAGGCCAAACTGCTTGTGGGCACAGAGGACACGCGTAAGCAAGATGGGCGATTTGGGCTGGTGGAGCACGACACAGATAAAAAACACATGATCCATATTCGGCAGACTTGGTGGCTCAAGTTGGACTCGAGGAGTGCTTCGCAGATTCTGAATGGAAGTCACGCGTTGATGCCATCGCCTTATGGGTTTTTGAACGCTCGCCGCCCGCAGGCTATTGAGCCTCCCTCATTGATCCTCGCAGCGCGTGCTGGCACCAGCGTGTGCTTTGCTTGGCCACCGGAGCCCTTCAGCACGACGCGGGCGCTACAACGAAGGCCGCCGGGGGACCTGAGCAGGGTAGCGCACGCTTCGCCCTCTAGAAGCGAGGCGATGGCACCGTCGCGAAGCGCAAAGCCAGGACACGCCTAGGCGACTTTCCACCCGTCGCAGCAGGTGGGCAGACTGGACGGTATGCAGCCGCTTGCAGAAACAATGCGGGAGCTCGCGCGCACGTGGAAGATGCCAGAAGCGGCCATGCAAGTGTAGGGAACTGGCCGAGCACCACCATGCTGCCAGGCTGACCGGTGCGCACAAGCACACACACAGAGTGAGCGAACACACGTTTTGTGAGCAGAATGACGGCCTGCACGAGGCCCCTATGGGACTGATTTTCCCCCCGTGCTGGCTAGCCTTCGCGCGGCGGCGCTAGCACACGCCTTGAGGACTGGGTGGGTCGCGCGCTTGCTCCGCCCTGCGGGCCTCTGGAACGCAACGTTCTCCCTGTTGCCCCCCGCGACGGCCGCAGGCCTGATCTCCTTCACGGCGACCACCTGGTGCAGGGGGCGCGGTCCCCACCGTCGTCCTCTTTTCGTACCCGTCCTCCTCGGCGTTGAAGTCCCAGGGGCGGTGCTTTTGCATGGCTGGAAATCTGCAAACGGTTGCCTTCCAACGTGGCATTTCCCGCAATGAAAGTCGGCCACTGTGCCGCTGGGCACGGAGTGGGCGTGTCCTCAGGTCCTTTGCCCCATCCCTTAGGCACTCCCGGGGGGTCTTTGAGAGGCCCGGGCCCCGAGTTCTCAAATCTCTTGGGGCTCCCGGCGTGCCCCCCTGGGCTCCGGCGCATCTTGTCGCATGACTTTTCGGGGCCCAGGAGGCCCCCAGAAGGGCCCAGGAGAGCTCCAAGAGACCCCCAAGACGGTGCGAGTGGGGTCCGAGACGCCCAACGACCGCACCAAGACGCCCAAGATGGCCCCAGGACGGCCCAAGTGGCCGCCAAGATGTCTCACGAGGCTTCCGAGAGGGGCCCCAAGAGTTCCCCAGCTATCCATTCACATGCGGGACCTCCCGCCAGTTCGAGGTAGGCCTCATGGGTGTTAGTACTTCACCCGCCTTGACACACTGTCCCAACGGGTGCACTCTCTCTTTCTCTCTCTCTCTCTCTTTTGTTTGTTTCTCTCTCTCTCTCTTCCTCTCCCTCTCCCTCTCCCTGTCTCTGTCTCTGTCTCTGTGCCGGTCTCGGTCTCTCTCTCTCTCTCTCTCTCTCGTTTTTTTTGTTTTTGTTCTCTCTCTCTCTCTCTCTCTCTCTCTCTCCCCCACACCACTCACTCACTCACTCATTCACTCACTCACTCACTCACGCTCGTCGTTCCCCTTCTCCTCGTGCTTACCTCTGCTCTCTCCTCCTCCTCCTCCTCCCTCCTCCCTCCTCCCTCCGCCTTCCTCTTTGCTTCTCCCTCCTTCCTCCCTCCTGAGGCTTGAAATTTGCAACAGCGTCAAAGATGGAGGGGTGTGGGGGGTCAACATGTGGCTCTCGCCATAGCGACGCGCACATTCGTCATCAAAGTTTGCAGCAGTTTCGAGGATCCGTGGTCGTAAATGCCAAGATGTGCACTCTGGCAGTATTTAGGACGGTTAGGACTGGATTGGACGCAGCAGTCACGTTGATTCTTAGCGTTGAAATTTCAGGAGTGATGTTCGGAAACCAAAACAGAATCTGAACTACTTTTGGAAACTGAAGGGTGCCCGACTCCGATCAATTTACGATGTAAAAGCTGTTTTTGAATTATTTTGTTGTGGTCCTCGCGGAACAACTCCTATCCTTTTTGGAGGCTTTCGTGTAGGGGCCTATGACAAGAAGAGCTTGGCGGGAAGGTTTATTGCGACATCGTTGATGCGTTTCGGGTTTACGCTGGCTGGTCCTCCTCCTCCTCCTCCTCCTCCTCCTCCTCCTGCTCCTACTCCTCAGCCTCCTCCTACTCTTCCTCCTCCTCCTCCTCCTCCTCCTCCTCCTCCTCCTCCTCCTCCCCTTCCTGCTCTTGCTCCTCCTCTTCGTCCTCCAGCTCCTCCGCCTTCTCGTCCTCGTCCTCGTCCTCGTCTCGCTCTCGTCCTCGTCCTTCTCCCCCCCCACCCCCGGTCGGCCACGCCGCAGCAGCCACCTGGCCACGCCAGAAACCCTTGAAGACCTCGGCCGTGCAGCCAGAGCCCAACCGCTCCTGCAGCGTCAGCTCCGCGGCCGGTATCTCCAGCTCCTGCTCCTGCGGGGGCGCCGCATCGGGGCGCCGCTTCAAAACGCCCGCTGGACGTGCTCGGCACGGGGCCCAGCGGAGCCATCTGGCGCCCACGAGATTCGGGCTTCCAAACTGAGGAGGAGGAGGAGGAGGAGGAGGAGGCGGAGGAGGAGGAGGAGGAGGAGGATCGTGCTCGCCCAGTTTGGAAACCCCGGGGGTCGTCGCCAAGGACGATGCGGCCCGAAACATGGGGCAGAGGGATGGGGGCCGGGGCTGCGGTCGTGGCGTTTCGCGGGGCCGCAGGGTTCTGGGCGTGGGGGCCTGCGGAGGCATCCAGATACCCGCAGAGGCTTCGCAGGAGGAGGAGGAGGTGGAGGAGGAGGAGGAGAAGGAGGAGGACCAGGGCAAACCCAAGACTTATCAACGATCCCTGAGCATCCTGAAGCGTGCCAAAAACAACACTCTCGGGACTTCAATGCCACGAATGAGCATGACTGTTGCGCCTTGGCGATCCCGAATCGTGGCAGAACACCATCCCTGGGACTTCAGCACCGCGAATCCGCGTAATTGTTGCGCCCTGGCAATCCTGAACCGTTCCAAAACACCTCTTCTGATACGCTAGCCGTGGGAATCCGCTAAACTCTTGCAATTTGTTCAAGACGAATGTGTGCGGCGCTGAGGCGAGAACCACATTTTGACAAGGAACCGCCCTCCATCCGTGAAGCTCTTGCAGTTTGTTTAAGACGAGTGTGCGCGGCGCTACAGCGAGAGCCACATTTTGAAATCGCCCCCCCTTCACACGTGAAATTCTTGCAATTTGTTTAAGACGAAGATGCGCGGCGGTAAGGCGAGAACCAATGTTTGAAAACGACCCGCCCTCAATCCGTGAAGCTCTTGCAATTTGTTATACTACGAGTGTGCGCGGCGCCAAAGCGCTGACCACATTTTGAAATCGACCCGCCCTCAATCCATGAAGCTCTTGCGAGTTTTTGTAACGAGTGTGCGCGGCGCTGATGCGAGAGCCACGTGTTGAAAACCATTCGCCTGCCATCTGTGAAACTGCAGCAACTTTCAAGCTCATAGATGGTCAGGAAGTCTCAAGCGGAACGCCGGGCCCGCCCTTTCGACCGGCCTCGGGTTGCGACAGGGAGGAGTTATATATCGTGAAAAGGAATGGAGGAGGACGAGGAGGAGGATGAGGAGTGGGGGGAAGAGGAGGAAGAGCAAGAGTAGTGGGATACTTTTTTGACGTCGGAGAGGGGCAGGAGAGAGGGAAGAAGAAGAGGAGGAGGAGTAGTGAGAAGAATAGCACAGGAGGGGAGACAGAGGAGGGGGAAGAGGATGAAGATGAGGAGGGACGACGAGGAAGAATGATGCGGAGGAATAGGAGGATAGAGAAAGATCATGAGGAAGACGAAGGGGACAAAGAGGAGGCGGGAGTCAGGGCGCTGGCGCACCCTGGGGCGAGAAAAGATACAGCGCGCCATCGCCAAGCGCGAGAATATCAGAACGTAGCCCGACCACGAGACGTCCTAAGCCTGGGCTGAGGGAAGCACCGTCTTCTCACCCATGCAGGGCTGCATCGGTCGTGCACTGGCATCGTTTGCGACGCGGAATGCGGAAGCGGAGCGTTACCATGCTCGCGCGGGAGTGAACTCTCGACGCCGGCATTGCTCGCAGAATCGCAGTCGGAAGACGCGAGGGTTTGGGGGCACCTCTGGGCGCATCCCGGATCCCCCCCGACATGCCGACCACGGCGTCTCGGGATTTGCCTTTCAATGCGCACGTTGCTGAAATCGACCCAACTCGCGTAGAAGCTCCGTGATCCACCACGTGAACTCAAGCGACAAGGAGCACGACAGGAATACTCGAGGGGAGCAGACGGCGGGGGACGAAAGACAGGACCGGCGAGGTACGATGTTTGCCCAATTGTACCAAGGCGTCTTCGAGCTGCTTCGATCGACTGATGAGGGCCAGCGCCCAAATGGCTGCTCCCAGAAACTCTGGAAGCAAACACATTGGCGTCTTACCTCCGCCGCCTTCCGCCATCTTCCGCCAACGTTTTACTTCCGCCTGCCTCCGCCGAGGAAAGAGATTAGACAGTTGAGATCCTGTTTTATTCCATGTGGGGTCCCTGGAAGTCTTGACCTGTTCCCCAGGGCCAGCCTTTCATTCCTTGGCTGCGCGCAGGGAGGGGGATAAGGGGAAGGGGGGAAGGTTTCTTAGAAGGAAGCCGCTCCTTAGAAGGCGCCCGCCCTACGCCTATTAGAAAAGGCCCGCGCCTTCTAAGGAGCAGGAGTGCTTCTCGGAAGCCTTTTCCCCCTCCCCCTACCCCCCCTCCTCCTTCCTCCTCCTCCCTCCTCCTCCTCCTCCTCCTCCTCCTCCTCCTCCTCCCTCCTCCCTCCTCCTCCTCTCTCCTCCTCCCCCTCCTCCCCCTCCCCCTCCTCCCCCTCCTCCTCCTCCCCCTCCTCCTCCTCCCCCCCCTCCTCCTCCTCCTCCTCCTCCTCCTCCTCGAGTGCCCGCGCGCCCTCGACTCCCCAGGCCGTTGCTTGCCAGTCCCTGGGAGCGGCGAAGGCCCCCAGAGGCCGCGGGGCTCCTCCTCCTCCTCCTCCTGGTCCTCCTCGTCCTCCTCCTCCCGGTCCTCCTCGTCCTCCTCCCCCCTCCTCCTTCCTCCTTCCTCCTTCCTCCTCCCTCCTCCATCCTCCCTCCTCCCTCCTCCCTTCTCCCTCCTCCCGTCGCGACTCCTGTCACGGCGCAGGCCTGTTTGGGAGATGCGGCCGAAGGCGGGGCCCTCTCTCTGGGGCTCCTCCTCCTCCTCCTCCTCCTCCTCCTCTCTCCTCCTGGTCCTCCTCCTCCTCCTCCTCCTCCTCCTCCTCCTCCTCCTCCTCCTCCTCCTTCCTCCCTCCCTCCTCCTCATGGTCCTCCGCGTCCTCCTCCCTCCTCCTCCTTCCTCCTCCCTCCTCCTCCTCCCTCCTCCCTCCTCCCCTCCTCCCCCCTTCCCCCTCTCCTCCCCTCCTCCTCCTCCTCCTCCTCCTCCTCCTCCTCTCCTCCCCCCTCCTCCCTCCTCCTCCTCCTCCTCCTCCTCCGCCTCCTCCTCCTCTCCTCCTCCTCCTCCTCCCCTCCTCCTCCCTCTCCTCCTCCTCCTCCCTCCGCCTCCTCCCCTCCTTCCTCCCTCCCTCCTCCTCCTCCTCCTCCTCCTCCTCCTCCTCCTCCTCCTCCTCGAGTGCCAGCCGCGGACGTGGCGGACCCGCTGGCTCTCCGGGGGGCAGCCCCGAGCTTTCTCCGTGCCCCGCCGCTGGGCGCCGCCCCCTTCGCGGGGCGCCGCGGTCACGCCTCCCTCGCGGCCCCCGGGGAGGCACATCTCGCCGACCTCCGCGGGGCCCGGCTGGGCCGCCGCCCTGTCTTGGCGGCGCGCGGAAGGAGGCAGGGGGAGGGGGGAAGGCTCCTTAGAAGGAGGCTGCTTCTCGGAAGGCGCCGGCCTCACATCTACAGAGAGGGCCCGCGCCTGCTAAGACGCAGGGGTGCTTCTCAGAAGCCTTCCCCGCTCCCCCTACCCCCCTTCTGCGCGTGGCCAGCTGTCTGGCCGGGCCCGGTGGGCGTCAGCTTTTCCCTCGATGTCCCCGGGGAGAGCCGACGCTCCAGCACACTTATCTACGGAGCGGGCGGTGCTGGGCCGTTCTCGGCCATTCGGAGCCCGCGCCCGGCCCCGGAGGCCGTCAAACGAACGCCTCGGGGCGAGAAGCCGGCCCGCAGGCCCCCTCCTCCTCCTCCTCTTCCCCTCCTCCTCCTCTTCCTCCTCCCTCTCCTCCTCCTCCTCCTCCTCCTCCTCCTCCTCCTCCTCCTCCTCCTCCTCCTCCTCCTCCTCCTCATCATCCTCCCCGGGGAAGCGGTCCAGACCTCAGGGGCCCACGCATCGACGGAGTTGGAGCAGCCAGGTGTCGGGGTCGCGCCGAGCGAAGTGCGCAAGCTTCCACAACACGTGTAACAGCGGTTCCGTTGTCCGTTTGCCCTCCCCGTCCCCTCCCCTCCTCTCTCTCTCTCTCCCTCCTTCTCCTCGGCCATGGCAAACACGAGTGTGGGTATACTTTCCGCTCTCTCGCGAGTGTGCTAATGTGCACAACTCGTTTTGCCAGTGCCTATGCGTCCTCTCGGGTGGACGACTGTGCGTGTCCCGGAGGGACGAACATTGGAGCACCATCCAACGTGTAGTCACCATCGCCCTCATCATCACCATCACCATTGTCATCATCACAGCCGATGGGCATTCTGGCGCAGGGCATTCTGGTACGAGGGCCACGAAGGCGTCGAGGATCAAGGCGACACGGATCGACGGCGGCGACGGATCGAGGCGGTCAGGATCGAGGCGACACGGGTCGAGGCGTACGGATCGAGTACGGATCGACACCGGGCATTCCGGCGCAAAGGTGCAGCCCAACGGTGGCGGTGCTCCGTGCCTGTAACACACGGGCCGAGAACGGATCGGCGCCGGGCATTCCCGCGTGAAGGTGCAGCCGAACGGTGGCGGTGCTCTGCGCCTGTGACGACACCGAGTGCGCTGCGCCTCGGATGGTCTGAAGTCCGCGGCAGAGCTCCTCCTCCTCCTCCTCCTCCTCCTCCTCCTCCTCCTCCTCCTCCTCCTCCACACGGTAGGCACATACGAGAAGACACCTTGCCGCAGGCCACCGAGAGGCCCATCCTTCGCCAGCCCTGGGCTTCGTCGCGTGCCCCAGGGCTCCGCGGGGCCATCGGGAGACGAGATGTGCTCGTGGGGCACCGGATGGCAGGCTGGCTTCTTGTCTGGTGTGCCAGCTGCAATGCGCGCCAGGATTTCGTCTATTCGAACGTCCTTTGACAACTGCTTCTTTACACGAACCTGGGCCTGCTCGACAATCCAGTTGGTGGCGAGGTTGAGCACCCAGAGCCAGGCATGGCCGCAAACGACGGGCATCCAATGATTCCCAACATCCCGAGTGTGGCACTGGTTTTCTCAGAACTTCTTTCTCATAGCCTCCTCCTCCTCCTCCTCCTCCTCTCCTCCCGCTTCTTCTTCTTCTTCTTCTCTTCCTCCTCCTCCTCCTCCTCCTCCTCCTCCTCCTCCTCCTCCTCCTCCTCCTCGTTCTGTCCTCCGCCAGCATATGCACTGCACGGGTCCCACCTTCTTCTGCATGCCCTTCCACTGCACGAGTCTTTCTTCAACTGCACGAGTAACAGCAAGATCCCGCCCTTCTCACAGGGCACGGGGTCATTTATCGAATCCGTGCCCTTCCCACTCCACCAGTCCCGCCGTCTGACCCTCCAGGGAGGCCCCGCCATACCGCGCCCATCACCGGGATACCCTGTGATTCAACCATTTCTTTCCGTCATTCCCACTCCACCGGTCCCACCATCACCGTCAGACCCTCCACTTCGTGCCATGGGCGTTCTTCCACCTCTCTCGTCGCTGTCGTCGTCGACCGCCTTCTCCTCCTCCACCTCCTCCTCCTCCTCCTCTTCCTCCTCGTCACCGCCGTCGTGGTCTTCCTCCTCTACCCCTCCCCCTCACCTTGCCCATTCCCCCTCCTGCTTTTTCTCCTCTCCTCCTCCTCCTCCTCCTCCTCCTCCTCCTCCTGCTCCTGCTCCTGCTCCTGCTCTCCTCCTCCTCCTCCTCCTCCTCCTCCTCCTCCTCCTCCTCCTCCTCCCTCTTTTAGTCCTGCTCCTCCTTCTCCTCCTCCTCCTCCTCCACCTCCTCCTCCTCCTCGTAGACCTCCCCCACCCCCCCTCGCCCTCATCCTCTGGGGAAACCAAAGTATGAATACTGCTACTCCCCAAACCTCTCCATGGGCGCGTTCTGGCCAGAAATTCGGAGCGAATCCAGCCCTGGCGACGAGGGCCTCGCCGGAGGCCCCCCCAAAAGGCGAAAACGAGGACGGGGCAACGGTATCGGTACCATTTCCTCCTCTGACTTTCCCTGCTGCCTCCCCCTCCTGCGCTGTCCCCCCCTCCCCCTCTTTCTTGCGCAGACCCTGGGCGCTCCACCCGTGGCGTAAGGACCCCCTCCCCCTCCTCCTCCTCCTCCTCCTCCTCCTCCTCCTCCTCCTCCTCGCTTCCCCCCTGTGCGGCAGGTTCGTGCGGCGATGACGTCGGCGCTGGTCTCTGAGACCCCATGGGCCTCTGAGCCTTGAATAACCGCGGCTTCCCGATGGCGCAGGTCGCTCGACATCGGCTGGTTCTGGGCCACTGGCGGCGTTCATCCGCGGCGAGCCCGGGGGGGAAGCGAAAAGGAGTGGGCCTTCTCAGAAGACTCGGAGGCCCCCCGACCTCCTGAAGAGTCTTCGAAGCATTTCTGAAGACACCGAAAACCTCTGGGAAGGCCAGAGGCCTTCTCCCTCCCCCCCTCGCTCGCCGCCGAGATCAAGCTCGAACGCCCGCGCTGGGGTCGTCGCCGCGTCCACGCGGCGCAAACCGGCCGGGCGGAGCTGCGCGATGTGCGCGTCCTGGAGCCGCAGGGGGGCGCGGGAGGAGACCGCGCTCGACGCGGTGGCGTGGACCTCGCCGATGTTTCCCTCGGACCCCACGGAGCTCCAGTCCTCAGGGCTGGGATGGGTGGGGAGGACGGCGAGGATGAGGATGAGGATGGGGATGCGGAATGAGGATGAGGAGGAGGATAAGGAGGAGGAGGAGGAGGAGGAGGAGGAGGAGGAGGAGGAGGAGGAGAAGGAGGAGGAGGAGGAGGAACGTATCCTACCGTACTCTTGTGTGTTTGCGCCCTCGCGCGTTCAAAGGGCTCTTCTTCCAGCGCACTTGGCCAGGGGCCCTCCTGGGGCAACGTGCCACCATCGGCCCAGCCAAAAAGGCGCAAGCCCCACCAGGGAGGGCGGGCGGGAAGCAGAAAAGCACTGAATCCACTCGCAGCGAACCGGCGGTCCCCTTGCCACCACCGACCGCCGCTCCCGCGCCCCGCCCATGCGCTGGCCTCCGCGGGCCTGGGCCTGCGCTGGGGCAAGCAGCTCCCCCAGTGGAAGCAGCAGGCCACACTGACGACAGGACGACAAGGACAGGCAGACGGGGCGACGACTGGCAGACACGCAGAAGGACAGTCGTGACGCCGACAGACGGACAGACAAGCCAAGACCGACGACGAATAGCCGCAGCCCCTGAACGGGGCACCACGCCGTGAGAACATGATGCCACCCCCCCGCGGCGCAAACAGGACGAACTCCCCAAAGGCCAGGAGTGGAGGCGTGGATCACGAATCGTGTGTTCGTCAGATGCTCCTGCCCCCCAATCCTGTAGTTTAGGGGCGGAGAAAAAGAGGAGGAGGAGGAGGAGAAGGAGGAGGAGGAGGAGGAGGAGGAGGAGGAGGAGGAGGAACAAGAGGAGAACAAGAGGAGGAGGAGAGGTGGAGGAACAAACATGAAAAAGAGGAGGAGAGGAGGAGGAGGAGGAGGAGGAGGAGGAGGAGGAGGAGGAGGAGGAGGAGGAGGGGAAAGAGGGTGATTGCTTGCATCCACAGTGCTGCAGCCCGGCGTACACAACAAGGGCTGACGAGACCCTTGGTGGCTTCGACCACATTCAACGGTGGAGCATTGGACAGGAACAGAGGTGATCAACGGCGACCGTGCAGAGCAACACTCACCAGACGTGGCAAAACGCGCTTCAATCAACAATGACCCCGACCCTCTTGGGGTGGAGTCCTTTAGCCAACTCATTCCACGGATTACCGTGCAACTTGCCCGAGTCAGGCTCGCACTTTTTGTTCAGGTTGCGCAGCTGGCCCCCAGGTCATATAACTACACTTGCGGTACACTTACAAAAACGAACGCCACAACAATCAAGCAAGACGCAACGGTGCCCGAGTTCCTTCAGCTTTACAGGTTGGACAGGAGGGTGAGGACACGGAGGAGGAGGAGGGCAGCGATGGAAGATCTCTCATGCCATCAAGAACCAGGAGCCAGGAGGAGGAGGAGGGCAGTGATCGAAGATATGTCATGCCATCAGGAACCAGCAACCAAGAGGAGGAACAAGAGGAGGAGGAGGAGGAGGACGAGGAGGAGGAGCAGGAGGAGGAGAAGGTGCAGGAGGAGGAGGAGGAGGAGGAGGAGGAGGAGGTGCAGGAGGTGGAGGAGGTGCAGCGAGGAGGAGGAGCAAGGGTGAGGAGGAACAGTTGGAGGAGGAGGCGGAGGAGGAGGAGGAGGAGGGGAGGAGAAGGAGGAGGAGAGGAGGAGGAGGGAGGAGTGATGGTCGAAGCTCTGTGGAGGGCTCTGATGATACACACCGTTCCAGCGGCCTCCCGCGCCGCGCAGGGCCCCACGCGGCAGGCGGGTGCAGGGTGAACCACCCGCGCACCCGGCGGACGCGCCAGCGAAGAAACGACCCACCACGCGAGCCCCGACGGCCCCAAGCAGGAACACCCAAAAATCGGGGCAAGAGGCTCAGCGCCAGGCGACGACGGGCGGAGGGGGGAGAGGGAAGGAGAGGAGGAGAGGAGGGAGGATGGAGAAGGAAAGTGGAGAGGGTCAGGAGGAGGATGCGGTGGTGGAGGAGGAAGAGGAGAGGAGGATGGCGGAGGGAGGAGGAGGAGGAGGATGGGGAGGCGGAGTAGGACTACGGGCTGGCCTGCCTTCATCGAGGTAGGCATGGCGCGGACAGGGGTCGGCATTCAAAACTCGGCGTTGCATCGGGTTACCGCGGACGGGCCTCACCAAAGCAGGCGAAGCGGCGAAAGCGCTCACAGGCTCGACCTGCAGACGTGGACGAATCAGGATCGGAATCGTGAGCACGCTGCCAGTGCAGGATGAGGAGGGTGAGGATGAGGATGCGGATGCGGATGAGAGGGAGAAGAAGGAGGAGCGACGGCGACGACCGACGACGACGACGAGAACGAGAACAACGACGAGGACGACGAGGACGACAAGGACGACGAGGACGCCGACGACGACAACGACGGCGACGACGGCGACGTCGACAACGACGACGACGACGACGACGACGACGACGACGACGACAACGACGACGACGACGACGACGACGACGACGACGACGACGACGACGACGACGGCGGCGCTTCTGCAGCGGGCCCTGGCCCTCCTCGCCCGCCGCGCCGTGGGGGCCCTGCCGCTGCTCCTGCGCGAGGGGCTGCTCCCGCGGGGAAGGGGGGCCCTGAGCGCCATCCCCGCGGCCGGCGAACACGGAGGGAGGGGAGGGAGGGGAGGAGTGGAAGAGAGGGGAGGGCTTGCCCGAGTCAGGCTCGCACTTCTTGTCCAGGTTGTGCAACCGGCCCCCGGGCGTCATACAACTACGCTTGTGGCACGCGCACCGCACATAACGATCATAACCATCAGGCAAGACGCAGCGGTGCCCGAGTTCCTTCAGTCGTATACAGGTTGGACAGGAGGGTGAGGATAAGGAGGAAAAGGGGAGGAGGAGGCAGACGAGGAGGAGGATGAGGAGGAGGATGAGGAGGAGGAGGACCAGTGTAAACCCAAGAATCACCAACGATGGTGGCATAAACCCTCCCTCCAAACTCCCTCCTCGTGGGCCCCTACAAGGGCTTGGTTCCGCAAGAAGAACTGCCTCGCTCCTCGTTGGAAGACAACCGTTCGAAGACCCTGAAGCAGGCCAAAAACAGAATTCTCGTGAGTCCAACACCACGGATAAATCTGACTGGTCTTGACGACCCGGAATCGTGCCATAACCTCATTTCTGGGACCTCAGCACAGCGAATCAACGTAATTGTTGCGCCCTCATAATCGTGAACCTTTCCAAAACACCATTTCTGGTACGTTGACAATGGGAACCCGTGAAACTCTTGCAATGTTGAAAAAAGGAATGCGCGCGGCGCTGAAGCGAGAGCCATAGTTTGACAACGGACCGCCGTCAATCCGTGGAGTTCCTGCAAGTTTCTTAAAGCGAATGTGCGCAGCGCTAAAACGAGAAATGCAATTTGAAAACGAACCACGCTCAATCCGTGAAGTTCTTGCAATGTGTTAAAGGAATTGCGCGCGGCGCTAAGGCGAGACCCACACTTTGAAAACCACCCTCCATTCATCCGTGAAGCCGTTACACATTTTAAAACGAAAATGCGCGGCGGTACGGCGAGAGCTACATTTTGAAAACGACCCGCCCTCCATCTGTGAAACTGTTGCCAACTGTTAGGGTTCAGGGCCACAATCGGTGAAGAAACCTCAAGCGAAACGCCCGGCCCACCCTTTCGACCGGCCTCGGGGTGCGACAGGGGGAAATTACGCATAAGAAAAACATTGGGGAGGGCAGCGATCGAAGATCTCTCATGCCAGCAAGAACCAGAAACCAGGAGGACAAACAAGAGAGGAGGAGCAGCAGGAGGAAAGGAAGAAAAGGAGGAGGAGGACGACAACGACGATGAGGAGGAAGAGGAGGGGAGGAAAACGAGGAGGAGGAGGAGGAGGAGGAGGAGGAGGAGAAGGGACATATTGTTTCGACATGGACCGCTCCTAGATGAACTCCAACACGCCAGGGTGAGAGCAGCAAAATTACACGCAGCGTGGCACTTCGTGCTTGCAGACACGCCTGAATACGAACGCAGGAGCCAGAACCCTGTGAAAACTGAGAACGCAAAACGGCCGCTCGTGGAACTCAGTTCCTGCACAGCTCCTAGGCATGCCGTAAGCAGGAAACGAACGTCGGCGGCGAGCGAGTGGGGAAGTGAGACGAACAATCTTCTCAGAAGGTTCGGAAGTCCTCCTGCCTCCTGAGAAGTTTTCTAAACCTTTCCCAAAGACAAACAAAACTTCTCAGAAGGCCCGAGGGCTTCTGAGAAGTCCAGCCGCCTTCTGAGAAGGCCTTCTCCTTGTCATTTCCCCCCCATCGCTCGCCGAACGAGCTACATGCCGCGTGGCAGTTTTTCGAGCCGCGCCCACTCAGATAACGACACTCCGCCAAAGTCGTGCAGGCCACCCGAGGGGCACCACTCCCTCGGGCGACCGCACACCCCCACGCACGCCAGGGCGGAGAACCTTGGCAGTAGGAAGGGCGGTGTTGATCCGCCGATGAACCCCCCGCAAGGGATCCCCCCGCCCGAGCCCAAGCGGAGTACCTGGGAGGCCACC